TTTTTTTAAATAAAGACAGGGTTTCACCATGTTGGTCAGGCTGGTCTTGAACTCCCGACCTCAGGTGATCCACCCGCCTTGGCCTCCAAAGTGCTTGGATTACAGGCGTGAGCCACCATGCCCAGCCATAAATAATAATTATAATAAAAAGTAAAATAAAGGGGAAATGAGGGCTGTAGAGGAAAGTGGGAAGGTATGGTCATCCACATGTTGCAAGAGAAAAGGAGCAGATAGGGGAACAGCCAATCATGTATTCATCTTGTGCTCAGTAAGTCGGCACTTTACATAAGATAAGGTGAGCATAAAGTGGCTACCTATGGGGATATTTAACCTTTATCCATAGGTGTCTGCTTAGGAACAAAAGGAAAGGCAGTTTCTTGCATGACAGCTTTCAACTTAATTTTTTCCTTTTGACAGAGCAAATTGGGATCCTGAATTTTTATTTTTCTTTGACAACAGAAATCCACACAGACCTATTTTAGTTATCTAATTCTTAATGGACATCAGGATGTTGACCTTTTTTAGTAATATTTAATATATATATCTCATTTGTTCCATTTATCATCCCCCAAGTATTACAGCCATGTTTAAAATGAAAATTTCCTGTGTCAAATTAACTTTTCCAATATTTTTTGTCCGTTTTTTCCACGCTTGCTTGAATTGAATTCTCTCCAGGTTTCCATTAACTTTGGACCATGCTTCAAGTATCCTCCGAAGGATCTCACTTACCGCCCTGTGAGTAACTTACAAATGCCCGCTTGCGTCCTCAGCATCCTTGGCTCTCGCCGTGGCTGCTGTAGTCACTGTTCTGTTTCTCATTCCTCCTGCAGATGAGTGACATGGGCTGGGGCGCCGTGGTAGAGCACACCCTGGCTGACGTCTTGTATCACGTGGAGACAGAAGTGGATGGGAGGCGCAGTCCCCCGTGGGAACCCTGACCAGGTCCCTTTTTCTTTTCAAACAAGGACTTTCTAGGGAATAATACTGGGGGTTATGTTTTCATTGTAGAACTGTCTCAGATGTTCTCCTAAAGATACTACAGAACAAAGCCTGTCCTGTTAGCAAGTTAAAAGGCTGGGTAGGACTGCGGGAGGCTGCCTGCCCTTCACCATTTTCTCCCCACTTCCAGTAACTGCCCTTATTTTGTGTGCCAACAACTGCTGACTCCAGGATTGCGTAAGCCCCTGTGAAATTGGTGCTGTACCGCATGCCCTGCCAGCTGGGACTTGTTATCTTACCGTATTTTCTAAGGAGTGAACAATCTTCCGAGTAACTAACTTATTTAAGACATTTCCTTCTGTGGGCATTGACTCCATCTCACCTGTTTTCCAAGGAAATGGTAACCTGTTTATGAGAACACATGAAATCAATGGCTGTACATTTCAAACCAATCTAAAAGCTATTTCCTTTTGGTGTGGGTTTGGTTTTGTTGTTCCTTTTGAAACACGCTTTTGAACACTGAGATCCCTGAAACTACTAGATCTCCAGAAGTGTAATTGTGAAAGAAACTTGCTTGCAATTTTAACAAAATGAGAAACTTACCAAATAAAATGTGTTTTGAAGTTTGTGTGACACTTTGCTTCCCTGTAGGTTGAGTGCCTCTTCGTGACAGTTTTCAGAAATGTGGGCAGCATGAGGAAGGGAGCTGGCACTGGGAAGAAGAGCCGGGTTTCTGACTTATGTCTTGGCTGCTTTCCTGTTGCTCCCATTCTTGCCAATCAGCCACCACCCCCCACACACACCTGTGAAAATCTGCCACCTTGAGGAGAGGAACAAGAGTTTGAGACAGAGTTTCGCTCTTGTCACCCAGGCTGGAGGGCAGACTCGTGCCATATCGGCTCACTGCAACCTCTGCCTCTCGGTTCAAGTGATTCTCCTACCTCAGCTTCCTGAGTAGCTGGCATTACAGGCATGTTCCACCATGCCCAGCTAACTCGTATTTTTCATAAAGATGGGGTTTCACCACGTTGGCCAGGCTGGTCTAACTCCTGACCTCAGGTGATTCACCTGCCTCAGCCTTCCAAAGTGCTGGGATTACAGACGTGAGCCACCATGCCTGGCCCTTGGAACAAGAGTTCCAAAGAGCTAATGGTCTCCCTCCAGCTCCTCCCTTGGGTTGAGCTGTGGATGTTGATACATGCAGATGATTTCCTGTCTTACTTATCTTCCTTTGCCCTTAGCTGATGGCTAATGGCAATTTCCAGACTATTAAATACTGAAATGTAAGAATGAGCCTTCCAGCCTCGGTGGCGTGTGCCTGTAATCCCAGCACTTTGGGAGGCCGAGGCAGGTGGATCACTTGAGGTCAGGAGTTCAAGACCAGCCTGGCCAACATAATGAAACCCCGTCTCTACTAAAAATACAAAAAATTAGCTGGGCATGGTGGCGCGTGCCTGTAATCCCAGCGACTCAGGAGGCTGGGGCAGGAGAATTGCCTGAACCCGGGAGGTGGAGGTTGCGGTGAGCCGAGATCGCGCCATTGCACTCCAGCCTGGGTAACGAGCGAAACTCCG